GGGGGGGGGGGGGGGGGGGGGTCTTGGGACAGGTGTTTTGAAATTGTTTTATCTTCCATGCAAGTATTAGCTTGTTTGGCAGTAGGCTTCAAGGGATCATTAGGAATTAAGGAGTCATTAGAGGGTCTATGTGGCGTGGGGGTTTTGCTAATATAATTAGTGGGAGAAGTAGGTACATAATTAGTGTCATGCATGTTGTTTAATTGGCCCTTTTCCTGCATTGCCACGTGGCAATTATCAGTGGTCTGTGAGGCCACATCCAACTCCATGCAATCTTGGTTAGGCGGATTAACCAAGGCTTGAAACATATTTTCAGAATTTAGGCAAGGAGAAGGGCTATTATTTTTAGCAATATAATACTTAATAGAATTTTTATTGGAAGATTTAAGAAGCATTTGTTTATCGGAGGTTTTAGCATTTAAAGAGATAGAGGAAAGTGTACCTGACAAAGGTTTGATTTGATCATTAATAATATCTGAATTCATCCTTTGATTGGCCTTATTTTTTGTTGGGAAGATCACTGTTTCCCACTTTTCTTCTTTGTTGGAATGCCTTAAATCTTCATTGGCACACTGGACTGGTACATTTTGTTCATTGGATTGGTGGACAGTAGAGTCTAAAGCAACTGGGGAGGGGGCATTAAAGACTAGTTTAAAATTATATTTGGATTGAACATGCCCAAGCCTTCCACATTTAACACAGAGAAGATTCCCATCTTCATAATGTATAGATTGTTTGTGTGATCCGATGTAGATGGAATGGGCTACTGGGATATTCAACGGCAATTCGACACATAATCTAGCATATCTTCCTCTAAGGGTTGAGGAAGTGCATGCATCAACTTTTAGGAGCTTGCCAATTTTGTTGCCAATTTTTTGTAAGATTACACTATCATAGAATTCCGTTGGTAACTGAGGAAGACGAATCCATACCGCCGTTTTTGATATTTTTGCTTCTGATGCAAGAAAGTTTGGCTCCCATTTTTGGACTGATAAGAAGTGGCCAAAAATGAACCAAGGACCCATATGTAGGGCTTTTTGCATAGTCTCCTCATTACTAAATTTAGTGATAAAATAATCACACCCTAAATCAATCAAGGGGAAGTTTTCCGTTGCTTTCCATAGCTCATGTAATTTTTTTTTGAGCAAGTGATGTTGTATTCTTCTCCCTTGTAGCTTAACTATAGCCGAAAATTTCCATGGCTGGTAATTCCAACATAACTTAAGATTAGGAAACATAATAAATTTATAACCACATTCAACAACGAAATTCTACTTTAATTGCATTACTCATTATATCACAAGTTTGTTAATGATTCATTATTTCTAATATTAGGAGGTGTAGATTCAAAAACTAGAGTAATAAAAAAAACAAATAAGAAATAAAATATAAGCAATTACATGAATCACAAGAAGTAAATGTAGAGAAATAAAAGATAAATAATGTACAAAGAAAAATATATTTTAAAACTCCAAAAAAAAAGTAAAATAAATAAAATAAAATATTAGAAATATTAGAAATAAAAAGTTATAAAGAAAAGAAGTTAAAAGGCAACCTTGTAATTACACAGTATAATTTACCATCAATTCTCACCTTCCCTTGAGAATTGAAAAGTGTAATTACACCCCTTTAATTACATCCAATTCCATCTTGACCAAGTAATTACTTGGCCAGACAAACATATAAGATTGTATAATTACACCCAATTACACTCAAATTCAATTCCTATTTTCCAAATAGGCTCTAAGGGTGTAAAATTCGTTTTCATTTATGTCTGTGCTTTTAACGGTGAAAGACCCTGTTTTTTCCGCGTGAGATTGCTTTGTTGTTAAGTATCGTTATTGAGAAAGGCAAAAAGGAGTTTCATTATTTGAGCTGTCGGAATATTGCCAAAGAGGTGCATTAATTTAGTTTAGTGGCCAAAAAGATGAGTTGATCCGTTCACAGATTCACTATTTGAGTAATCAAGGCTCCATCGTAGGCTTTTTTCTTTTCGCAAATTATTCCTCCGTTCACTTTTACTTGATAGATATATTAAAAATAGATTTTTATTTTTACTTGTCATTTTACTTTTACTTGATAGGTATACTAAAAATAGATTTTTATTTTTACTTGTTATTTTACGTATATTAAGAAAATGACAAAAAAAAATTTTGCTTATATCCACAGTATTTATTACTCATTTCAAATCATTTTATCAAATCAAATAAAATATGCATCAATTAATATGAGTAATAGTAAATTATGCACTTCATTTATTATTTTTTAAGGGGCGTGAAAAGTCGAAACGTGCCAAATAAAAATAAACGGAGGGAGTAATATATTGTATCTATATTTGATCTTCTCATGCTTTGTATAAAAGATAGTGGAAATAACTTCCTTGCGAAACAAAGGAACCAAAAAAAAAGTACGCAAAAGCACTTTTCTCTTTGCAAAAAAAAAAAAAAAAAAAAAAAAA